ATCTGGAGCCTGTCTCTGGCTCCAGCCTGAGCTATCTAGTTAGAATAAAATCAGTTATGATTTTAAAAAAGAGGGGGAGGGGCTATCATTCATATAAAAGATACTCTTTACCCTCAATAAATGATTTTAGGAACTTGGGGACATGCACTTGAGATTACAGGGTATGACCCTGTCTCAGAAACCAAGGACAGAGAAAGAAACTAAGAAATTTAAACTAAGCCTGCCTGGTGGCTCATGCCTATATCTGTAGCATCTGGGAGGCTGAGGAAGGAGGATCACAAGTTTAAGGCTGAACAGGGAGACCTCATCTCAAAAACAAAACCAGAGCAAAAGTGAAAAAGCTCTGAACTCCAGGCCTAACATATTCTCCCCAGTGCCTGTGTAGCCAGTGTGCTGGTGGATATGGACAGGTGGTTCAGGACCTGGCCTTCTTCTTCATCGCTAGTGATGCAGTGAACACTTGTCCGTTAGATCTCTCAGTGTTGAGAGTTTAGGTTTAACAATGAGTCTCGACTGTTTCTGTTCTCAGAGCTCATAGGTCAGCTGATGGGATGAATGCAGAAAAGCACAGATGTGTGTGTGTTGTGTTGTGTGTGTTTTGTGTGTGTGTGTATGTCTTTTTCTTTTTGTGTTTTGTTTTTCTTCTCGTTTTTCAAAGCTGGGGACGGAGCCCTCTTTTTGACTTAAGCTTAAGCTTGGGCCTGTTTGTCTTTGTTACGATTTTCCCAATAATAGTGAATAATTATGGCACAGTGGGTGGGTTTTATCTGCATTTTTCAGAAATTAACAGTAAATTGTAAAGAGAACCAGCAAAAGGGAGGGAGTGTCAGAGGGGAACATATGGGGAAAAGTATAATAATACAAAACTCAATATCTTGTATGCTAAGCTAAAAATTAATTTACAAAAAATAAATTGCAAGTACCATCATATGGAAACATTAAATGAAACTCTGTCTCAAAAACTAACACAGTGGTGGGTGCGATGCTATTACACCTTTATACCTTTAATCTCAGCACTCGGGAGCCAGCTGGTCTACACAGCAAGTTCCAGGTCAGCCAGGGCTTCATGAGGTTACAGTTCCAAGTATCTGGGCATGAAGTTAGGAGGTAGAGATAGGAGGATTGCCTCGAAATAAAGGAAGCCAACTGGTCTACATAGGGAGTTCTAGGCAAATCAGGGTTACACAAGAGGATGGAGCTCCAAATGAAGCAAACAAGCAAAGAAAAATAAAAGCAGGTTACAAGGCAAAGGTTATAGTTCAGTGATTGAACATCTGCCCTGGCAGGTTACCATCCCAAGCACCACAACCCCTAATCATTTATCCACATGTACACGCATACCCACATAAAAAGGAAGGGAGGGAGGAAGGGAGGCGGGGAGGGCATAAGGGCTGGGGAGGAAAGCTGGGAGGAGCTGAAGAGAAAGAGAAAGGCAAGAATGAAGTTAGGCAGACTCATGCCTACAAGCCAAGGTACTTAGGAGGCTGAGAAATCTCCCTCTTTCTCTATCAGACAGGAGCTCACTATGTAGCCCTTGCTGGCGTTGCAATTTGGATGATAGACATGAGCCACCACACTCATCTTCAACTACAACGCCCTCTTTTAAAAAAGAAATTAATGATTACAGATATTACTCAGTCGCTAAAGGCAACAAATAAAAAAGAAAATTAAAAATGTAAATATTTTCTGCTGGGTGTAGGATCTGTAATCCCAGAATTTAGCAGATAGAGACAGGAGAATCAAGATTTCTGGGCCACCCTTGGCTACATGATTAGTTCAAGGACTAACAAAACAAACAAAATACTCAGTATACCTTTAATCCCAGTACTCGGGAGGCAGAGGCAGGCAGAACTTTGAAAGTTCAAGGCCAGCCTGGTCTACAAATCAAGTCCCAGGCCAGACAGCTAGGACTACACAGTGAGATACTTAAGAAACACAGGAAAAGTAAAAATTCTCAACTGGATTTGTTGGTGCAGACCTGTAATCCTATCTACCGAGGGAAAAGAATCACAAATCCAAGGCCCACTTGGTGACAGAGAGAGGTCAAGACCGCCTTGGCGCATTAGTGAGCTCCTGCCTCAGAGCGCAAGAGGGAGTGGAGGAGTAACTCAGCAATAAAGCGCTTGGCTGGCATGCGGAAAGCCTGGACTCCAACACGCAGAACACAAGACAAAGCTTGTGGACTCTGCATAATTCTTAGGACACCGAGGTGAGAAAACCAATGATCTCTGTCTGTCTAGTAAGCTGTAACCTTCTCAGTGCAGCAAGGCATCGATCGTGCCTTTGTACCCCTAAAGTCTGTTTTAGAGTCTTCAGCACTTAATAAATGGCTGAATACATCATGAATGAGCAAAAACAGAGAGAAGCAGCTTGTGGGCCTCCCCCTTCCTCACTCTCAAACATTATTTGTCCCAGCTCTTCTGGAGCACACGATGGCTCATGGTCACCACCTACGCATATCCGTGAACAAACCTGTGGGGTGTCGCCTGGCTTCCCCCAGGCTGGAACCAGGGCACCAGCCCGAAAGGGAAGCAGGTGAGAGACATTCTGTACCAGGACTTTTGCCCTGTCTGGGTCAGAGCCAATTGGCTTTGGCCTCCCTCACCACGCCTGGGAATCAAGCTGGAGGATGTGTCCTTGAAGTTACTGCAGTGCTAAAGAACTCAGCGAAGAGTGGGTGAGAATCTGAATATTGAGAAGTGGCAATGGGGGCCTTTAGCAAATTTACTGAAGAAAGTGAGAAGCCCCAAGACTAGAGTCACTTGTTCAGCCCCCAAGCCATTACCCAGGACTTCCTGGAGATACAGTGAGGAGGAGCCAGCCACCTTAATGGAGCGGACAGAGCAGTGGGGGGAAAAAGAGCAACCAAACGAGACGTGACTGGGCACTTCAGCCATACACACTTACATTTTCAATTCAGCTCTGCAGCAATGAAGTGACATCTCAATATGTTGCATGAATAATAAAAACCCAGAGAAAAATATTGAGGTTCAAGCTGAAGATCAGAAAAGCAAAGCAGCCAACCACTAGAGAGACCTTTTACCTTTACCGAATCTTCAGGCCAAAAGGGCAAGATCTTGTTTCCACGAATCCTCAGACCCCACACTCCACTGAGTTCCTGTCTCTTCTCTTTATATCCTCTCTCTGCCTAGTCAGATCGCTCCTGTCTCCACCTCCCTAGTGCTGGGATTAAACGTGTGTGACTCCCAAACACTGGGATTAAAGGTGTGAGTCACCACCACCTGGATCTGTTTCTGGACCAATCTTGTGTAGCCCAGGGTAGCCTTGATCAACTCTTAGAGATCTGTCTACTGCCTCTGTCTCCTGAGTCCTGGGATTAAAAGTGTCTCTCACCACTCCACCTGTATTCCAACTAGTGTGGCTGCTTTGCCCTCTGATCTTCAGGCAAGATTTATTTATTAAGACACAAGTAATATACCACTTTACCAATATCGTGACCTTCTAAAACTAAGGAAACATATGCATTGTATTTTAACAGTTCTAGGGACTGAACCTAGAACCCTGTGTATGCTATGCTAGCCAAACACTCTATGTATAGAGCTATACATCTCCAGCTTTCTGACTTTTATTTTGAAACAAGGTTGCATTAAGTTTTGAAAACTGACTTGAACTAAGTAGTTAAGGCAGGCCTTGAATTTGAGGACTTTCTCCCTTACCCTCCTAACTAGCTGGGAGTGCAGGCCTGTGTCACCAGGTAGGCTGCATGTATTTTATAGCCAGAATAAGGAGAGATGAACAGGGATAGGAGTAGGGAGAGATTATAGCCTGAGGGAGCAAGTTGCCAAGGAATGGAACTGAAAACTGCAGATGGGCAGGGGCTGGATTTCCTAAGGCAACTTCTGGGAGCCATTAAATAGTAACTCAAGGAAGCAGAGAGGATAGTGATTTAGGTAGCGTTCTAGCTTTGCTCCTAACCTCAGTTATTTCTTGTGCCTTAGTTTGCTTGCCTGAAAACAACAACAACAACAAGTGGAAGGAACGGGGTGGACTCACTGATTCTGAAAATGTGATTTTTGAAAAGTGCTCCGCTGGAAGAAATCCTCAAACCACTTGTAAACCATGGCACAGTTAATGCTGGTTCTGGGCCCCTGAAAGATTTAGTTCAAGCAACAAGTAGGTTAACCACAAGTCACTTTTGCAAGGTAGAGGGAAGCTCACTTTGTTAAGCTGGTTTGTTTGGAGACTTTAATACAGATTTCTCAGGGCTTCTGTTTGGTCTCTGCCTGTTCTGTTCATAGTAGTTTGAAACAATGGCCTGCAGCTTTTATGTTCTCTCTCTACTCTTTTGTGGGGGATAGAACGCTGTGCTAGGAAGCATCCTACTACTGAGTCATCGTAGGATGCACTGAGTTTAATTTTCACATTAGACCCCTGTGAACATTTATTATGAGCTAAGGTTGCACTAGGTACATTTGTGAAAAATAAAAACCCCTTTTGGACAGATATAAAAGCTGAGGCCTCACTAGATCACCAACACCTAAGTGTGTCCCCTCTGCTGGGAACGGCCACTCTGGTTGCCCATTACAGGTGTGCCAAGCACTGAATTTGTCTTTTGCTCAGTGACAGGAATCGGCACGTACTGACTAACTGGCTAACTCCAGAGCTCGTGATGCTGGTTTCCCTACTTATAGCCAGGGACAACTTTTTACTCCATAAACAGGAGAGGATGTTGTCCCCCTCGGTCTTTTCTGGGTGAGGAATGTGCTTTTTATAGTTTGGGATATGTTTACTTAGTCTCTGCCAGCACCGGTTATTTCAGCCTAGTTTCGTCCTTCACTGTCCTCACACGCTGTATTCCTACGTTTCCTCCCTGCAAAACACAACTAACTCAAGAACACATGCTGTTTGTGTGTGTGTGCCAGCCAAGAAATTTCATTCCCCTCCGTCTCCAAGGCTGCCTACCTTTCTATAAATAATTGTTCTCTTCCCTCCCTTTAGACCTCGGAGTAGTTTGGCCACATTAACGCACGCGCGCCGGCACACACACTTTCGGCGCGGGGGTGTGGGCATGAGTGACCTTGTGAAGGTACTAGCCCACTGGGGACAGGATTAGCAAACCTGAAACCTCTGCAAATATTTGGCTTCCTCCCGCATTCTTCCCGAGGCTTCTGGCTGTCTCGTGCCTGCCTCACCTAGTACCCTTTGCGCTCGCTCCGCCACACAAAGCCCAAGCCGCCTATCTCCTCTTCGCAAACCCTGAGAACTTCATTCCGCACGTTAAAACTCGTCGGTGGCGGTGGCGGGCAGGACTGGGCATGCTCAGTGGCGGGGACAGGTCTGGGAGGCGAGGAAGCCGCATTTGAAGTGGCTCGGCCTCGGGATGAGGGGGAGGCGGGTGCCCCGGCTGGGGTCCGTGGAGGTTCCCGGTGCAGCACGCGAGGCCGACATGCTGCGGGCGGGAGCAGCCAGCCCGGCGCGCGGAAGCCAGGTCGCCGAAGACACGGGGGCGCCGGCGGGAGGAGGGGAGGAGCGCCCGGGCCGCCAGCCCCCGGCCTCGGCGCTAAGGCTGCCGGATAACAAGCCGCAGGGAGGGTCGGAGGCCGGGAGAACGCCCGACCATGACCTCCAGCGAGGCTGCCTGAACCGGAGCCCGCGCAACGCCCCGCCAGCCCCGGGCATGGGCGAGCGCGGCGCGCAGCACGAGCGCGCGGCCCTGCAGTCCCCCGGGGCCCCCGAGGGCGCCGCGGCCACCGTGAACGGGCTGCTGCACAACGGCTTTCACCCGCCGCCGTCCTGCAGCCGCGACCCGCTGCCTGCACGCTTCCAGCTCTCGTCAGAGCTGCAGCCTCAGCCGCAGCAGCAGCCGCTGTTCTCCCAACATGATTCTCCGGCCAAGAAATGCCGGCTGCGGAGAAGGATGGACTCCGGGAGGAAGAACAGGCCGCGTAAGTCCCGACGCGAGGGGAGCGGCGGTGCCCGCGGTGGAGGGGACGGCCAAGCGCCCGCTCGGGACTGCAGCTTCCCTTAGAGGCGCCGAGCGCTGAAGGTGGTAGCCCTCGGTGGCGCCTGGCTAGTAGTCCTATCCGCCTGACAACTAGCTGTAGCTGGTCTCGCGGTCACAGTAGAAAAAAGGCAAATGCTCTGCCCTCCCTTATTGATGGCCGGGATCGTGCACCAGACTGATCTTGGATCTGGGGCTAGGGACAGGGAGGGCTGGTACAGCCCCGGCTCATTGCTCCCTTGTCCGAGCACATCTTTTGGGGCTTGCAGCTCAGGCTACCAAGCTTGCCCTTTGAATTGCAGAGTAACCGTATGTTGGGTCCATTGGCAAGCTTAAGTCTGGAGGCGTGGAGTTTGACAATCCCCCAAATCACAGCTTATTAAACAGTGTTTCTATACAGCCAGTGAGACGGCCTGTGTAGAGGGAAACACCCACTGACACCATGTGGGCCGGAACTGTGCGGACCAATGAGGCCTGCAGGTGGATTGTTTTATTTATTTTTTTTCTGGAGTGGGTAGAGTTGAGTGTTTGTAATTGTACAGCGCCGACAGTGCGTTGTTTCACAATCCGAGGCTTGTATATATAATGGTAGATTCTAAAGGGTACCTTCCCCACCTGGCGTTCTGGGATGTCAGTTTGTAGGTAGAGTTTACGACTGTGGTTTTTTTGTTTGTTTGTTTGTTTGTTTTAATTCGAGCCTAACTCCATTCAATTGGTTACCTCTTTGTGAGTGTCTTTAATGAAGCTTATAAATGGCAAAAAGCAAAGTAAGTAGAGTGCATGGGAAACTGAACACATTCAAACGCGAACTTTTTGCATATAAAATTACTGTTTGGTGTTGGGAAGTGACGAGATCGGGTTTGAATTTCTGTAAAAGTTTGATCTTTGGGAAACAGCATAACGCCTTCAGCCTTTGTTCGTGATTGCTATCTCGTTTCATAGCTGTTCGTTAGTGCATTCGTTTCTAAAACTTTGGAAAATGCTTTAACATGACTGAGGGTGAATCCAGTGCGTGCATTTTGTAGGTCTAAAATGTTCAGGTGTGTGTGGAATTTGGGAGCTATACAGCAGGCTTGGTTTGGCTGTGGCTGTAAGACAGTTAATTAGTATCTGAGTTTCTACGTACTTTTTTATAGTTCTTGAGATATTATTTTTATGAACTTCGTATTGCCAGCTCCCTGTGTCTTATTCATTTGTTTTACTTCTGTGAAGCCCCGTTTTTGTTGTTTCTCTGATCTACATTTGTAAAGAGTTTTCTATAGTTTTCAATGACAATAGCTAGGTTGGGGTGGGGAGTCTGAGTCAGGAGACTCCAATTTGAGGCCAGCCCAACCTAGACAGTGAGTTGTACGGGTGGCAGAGAGGCAGAGTTGCTGGTTTAAATCGCGTTTTTCTTTCTGTGGTTTTTCTTTTTTACCGTGTGGTGGTGGGTATGTGGGTGTGAGCATGCCACAGCAACTGAGGCGATCAGAGGACAATTTGGAGGAGTTGATCTCTCCTCCCCGCATGTGGGCTCCAGTGCTCAAGCTCAGGCCACCAAAGTCCTCGTGGCGGCAAGGGCCCTTCCCCGCTGAGCTCTCTCTGGCCTCTTCAGGGGTTTAGGAGACCTGGTTTTGTGATCCAGCCCCAGGCTGGCCTGTATCTCTTGGTATTCCTAATTCCTCAACTGCCCGGAGTGCAAAGGTCACAGGCCTGTACCATCATACCTTGCTCTGCACTTCTTAAAATACTTTTTGAGGAATTGGAAATACAATGATTTGAGGAAGGAAAAAAAAACTAAGCCTTAACTATGCTTACAAAGCTATAGAGATTATTTTAAAATACAAGAAGATGTAACTGTGTGCTTTGTGTCAGAAGTTAAGTAGCTTGTGTTTCTTACATAAAAGTAAAAACTTGGAATTCTTTTTATTTACAAATTCTGCTATTTATAAGTTATTTATTTTCCTTTTTCCCCCCCCTCCAGATAGGATCTCCTGTAGCCCAGACTGGCCTCAAACTCCCAAGTGTAGTCAAGAATAACCTTGAACTCCTTGATCCTCCTGTCTCTACAGTAAACCTTCACACTTGGTTTATTTTCAACTTTTTGTTTGTTTTTTGAGGCAGAGTCTCATTATGTAACATGGACCATCCAGGGAACAAGCTAATTGTAAAGATCCGCCTGTCTGCCTTTTGAGTGCTGGGATTAAACGTGTGTGCCTCCAACCAGACCTATTTACAGTTTTTTTATAGGATTGAATCAAAGCTTGTTTTTCATTGTCCTATTACGTTTAATTTTCTTAGATTTGATCACACATTAGTTTTTCTTTTAATTTTTTATGTGTATAAATGTTTTTCTTCCACATATATTTTTATGCTATGTGCTTGCCTGGTGCCATCAGAGGTAAGAAGAGGGTGTCAGATCTCCTGGTACTGAAGTCACAGATAGTTGTGAGCCACCATTTAGGTGCTGGATCCAAACCTATGTTCTCTGCAAGAGCAGCTAATGCTGTTAACTACTGAGCCATCTCTGCAGCCCTGAGCACACGCTTCTGAAATAGATTGTGCATGCTCTAAGGAGTACACCTGTACATTTCACTACCAAAATTTCTTACTTAAAACTAGGTTTAGCACAAGAGAGACGGCTTGGCAGTTAAAAGTGCATGCTGCTTTTCCAGGGCCTCCATCAGAAGACTCAGCTATCTGTAACTCTGGCCCTGTGGGATCTGATACCTTCTTCTGACCCGTAAGGACACTTGCACATATGCCACAGACACATGCACGTATAATATAAAACAAACAAAACACACACACATACACACGTACACACACTGAAGACCAAAAGTGTAAACTCAGTCTATCAGTATGAAGGTTTTCTAATCTAGAGATCAAGTCAGGAGGCTGAAGGAATAGCTCCATAGAAGATGTAGATATTCAAAAGCTGGTTTATTCCCAGCACCCTCCAAAAAATCAGATCAGTTCTACTAAACCAGGAGAGGGGAATGTTGTCTATTTCCTGCGCATCTAAATGGCATCCTACTTACTTCTTCTCTGGAGACCTTTTCTACGACTGCCTTCTTCATCTGGGTTCCTTAGTTCCTTTGCCTGCCCCTGCTACCTAGAAGTCACAAATACAGGACCAGAGCTCTTGGAATGCTGGAGTTGAACTCGATGTTGTTTGTTATACTTAGAGAATCCTCCATAATGTTTCAAAGCTGACACATCTTGCTGTGTGACCTCTGTTCTAGTTGTCTAGACCGCCATATGAGTGAGCATTTGTGTTCTCATGTATTTGTGTGTGTGCTGGATATTGAAACTAGGTTCTCCTACGCGCCCAAAACATACTGTCCCATAGAGCTACTCGGTTGCCTTTTGTTCCTGCCTTTGTAATAAAGTTGGAAGTCTGGTTAAAAATGATGTGTTCTCATATACTTCGACGTGGAGAGGCATGTATATGTGGTTGGTGTTGGAGCAGAAAAATGGGTCAGGAGGCATCACCACCTCACTGGATAGTTGCCTCCATTTGCATAACCGATTTTGTCAAAAGCCCTTCCAGGGTTCCCGGTTGATCTACTCCATTGTGCTGGTTTTATTTCTTTCCTTGGCAGTTCTCAGCTATATTTTGGTTAATAGGTGGCTAATAACTTGTCAGCTATTTTTACTTCCAGCTTTAAGTTGGAAGTAGTCCATATATAAATACACATATATATATAAGTGGCTCCAAAAGTTCCCTAGCAAAAGCAAATCACAAAGCAGGTTGCAGTGAGTTTAGGTTTCCTGGGGTGCTACTCTTAACACCCAGGAGCAAGTCTGGCTGACTGACATGCCCTGCTGTGCCGATGTTGTGAAATGGGGTGAAGTAGCGCTGCTGGGGAGGTCACCTCATTTACACAAGTTTGGCAGTGAATACAGTGCCAAGGTGCTAGGAATGCCCAGTGCATTCGAAGTTGTATGAATTCGCCCCTCCCTCCATCCAGATGACTTGGGCTTGGACTTCAGCTGTGTGATCAAAGCGAGTACTCAACCTTTGTGTTTCAGGATGAGTGAAAGGATCAGACCATGCAGAACTCGTGTGAGTGTGACAGGGGACAATATGTACTCCCTCTGTACCTGCCAGCCGTCATCACTAAACACCGTCGGCCGCCACGAATCTCAGGACGGGCAATGGGGGCAGCACATGCTGTCTCAGACTGGCTTTCTTCAAGAAAGCAGCACAGGCCTAAGTAAAATACTGAGCTTATTAGTTATAGCACTCCTAACCCCATACCTGTCTTCCTTTCCTATAAAAATAGCGAAAAACAGCAGGGAAACAGCTGTTCTACGTACGGCGCTGGCTAGCAAGGAAGGGGGCTTACAGCACAGCCTGATGCCCTGAGTTAGATCCCCAGCCCCACACAGTAGGCGAGAAGGAGCTCCTGCAAGTAGTCCTTTACCCTCCACACCCACACTGTGGCACATGTGCACCCACATATATACATATATTCACAACCTAAGATAGCTAAAAATATAAATACACATACCCCCCCCCCCACACACAATAGCAAATAGTTCTGTTTTTATTGTTGCTTTGGTTTGGGTTGGGTTTTGGTAATCCGTGAGTCTGGATGTAGAGTACTGCTCTACAAATGAACACACACCAGGGTTCCCTCTCCAGCAGTGATCCCAAGCTTGCGCGTTACCCCAGGCCCTTTGTCCTTTCACATGGGAAGTAGAAGCTAGAGGGTCAGGAGTTCAAGACCAGTTTTGACTTCATTGCGAATTAGAATCTAGACCAGGTTATATCTCAATAAAAGAAAGCAAAAACAAACATGGCACTTAAACATTTTATACTATTTATGTATTAATTTATATTATTATATAAAATTTATTTATATTTATTATTTATATTATAATATAAAATTATTTTATTATTAAGAGACTGGCTTGTTCTGTTGCTCAAACTTGTGATTCGCTTGTCTTGTCTCCAGA